GCAAAGATGTGACATTAACCACCAAGACTGGCTGTGGCTAATGGATCTTTAATCTTGACATATAAGAAACAAGAAAAGCTTGCCTTAGCAAGGCAACGGATTTGCTTTATAAAGTATGACATTCTTTACCTAATACTCAATTTCCTATGCACTATGAGGTAGAAGGGGTCTAGAATTTCCTTGTATTATTTATTGAGGATGTAACAAAGGAGGTGGTTATACAGTAACATTATGCAGTAAAACACAAAAAATAACATAATTCATGGGTGACGTATTTAATGATATTCTGAGGCACTTGCTACTTCCTCATAAGAAATTGGTAATAATCTGAACACAGGAAAATTGCTTTCTTAAGCTAACCACGTCTGTACCAGGGATGGTATGCTTACGCACAAGTTGTACATAAATAGCTCTTCTGAGGACACACTTCAAACAATTTGTCAGTATAAATCTTACTCAGAACTAAGAAGGATACCTGAGTTTTATGGCCTTGTTAATAGAAACTGGAGACAAATGGAACAGCTGAAGCTGTCTGAACTGTAACTTTGGTGAATTTCAACCTTCTCCAAAATGTTCCTGAAAGAGTTTTTAGATTAATCTTAAGAGGCAGTAATCCAAAATGGTCAAGACATAGGGAGAATTATATCTGGATAAAGCTTTATCATTTCTGTGCAGTATAGAGGTACTTTATGGTAGGCTTCTAAATAAGCTTGCTTAGAAGGATATCCAGGGACTGGGAAAGAGAGGTGTATAAGCTTAATTCCTTTAAACCTCCATCTGAAACCATCAAAGGGAGCCCTACTTCCATCCAAAGATCCACCATTCTCATTACAGACTAGGCTGCTCTGTCCCAGCTTGGAGTCATTCCGCACGTGTGGCAGAATTCACCAAGCTCTGGGCAGGGGCCAGTCTGTCATACTGCCACTGGAGATCAAGTGCTTCTAAAATTACTTTATCTTCCCTTCATAAATTAAACTTCTGTATTTCCACTTTCTGAAGGGTGAAAACACAGATATATGACACCCTGCACAGAGTGGTGAGTCATGCCCTGTTGAGAAGGACTTGGGGGTGCTGGTGGATGAGAAAATGAACACGAGCCAGCAGTGTGCACTTGCAGCCCAGAAAGCCAACCATATCCTGGGCTGCATCAAAAGGAGCATGACCAGCAGGTCGAAGGAGGTGATCCTGCCCCTTTACTCTGCTCTTGTGAGACCTCACCTGGAGTATTGTGTGCGGTTCTGGTGTCCTCGACATAAAAAGGACATGGAACTGTTGAAACAAGTCCAGAGGAGCGTCATGAGGATGATCAGAGGACTGGAGCACCTCCCGTATGAAGGCAGGCTGAGAAAGTTGGGGCTGTTCAGACTGGAGAAGAGGAGGCTGCATGGAGACCTCATAGCAGCCTTCCAGTATCTGAAGGGGGTCTATAGGGATGCTGGGGAGGGACTCTTCATTAGGGACTGTAGTGATAAGACAAGGGGTAATGGGTTAAAACTTAAATAGGGGAAGTTTAGATTGGATATAAGGAAGAAATTCTTTCATGTTAGGGTGGTGAGGCACTGGAATGGGTTGCCCAGGGAGGTTGCGAATGCTCAATCCCTGGCAGTGTTCAAGGCCAAGTTGGACGAAGCCTTGGGTGATATGGTTTAGTGTGAGGTGTCCTTGCCCATGACAGGGGGGCTAGAACTTAATGATCTTAAGGTCCTTTCCAACCTTAACTATTCTATGATTCTATGATTCTGTAAAGAGACAGGTGAGAGATTTATCAATGGGAAAGTGCCAAAGGCTCTTTGAAACTCGTGAAGCTACGTTTACGTTAGCAAGTAGTAAGGCTTAACAAGAGTAAATCTGTAAAGTTTGAATCACTTCTGAAAATGCAGCATCTAACCTACCTGCATTTGGTAGGGGCAGGGATAGTGTGAACTATCTCTAGTATAGTCCCACCTGCTGGGACATGTTAAGTATGGCCTTCAAGGTACATGTCCTCATTTAGGTTCATTTGAAAGAAGTATAGTTTATGTGCTATGTGATCCAAAGCATTATAAAAGTGGCAATAACTGGGAGACTTTTTGTTTGTCATTATTTATTCCCCAAAAGTACACTCCTGACAAACTAAGATATTGATGTAGGTACCCTTTGTAGGAGAAGTCATAATACAAAGGGTCTGTAAAGGTCCTGTAATGGAAGGCAGAAACAAAAGCAAACAGAAGAGAAATTAAGAAAAAGTGGAGAACCTCCAAAAGTAACAAGCCTCATTAAAACCGTAAAACAGAAATACAAGAACGAAGTGCAAAGTGCTCTGGCATTTCTGGCTACCGTTCTAGTGACAGCTGGAATGAAAGCCTGAAAGCCAAAAGACAGAGCACAGCAAAATTAAATTTACTGAAGGGAAGATGAATGTAGAGTGAACATATAGAGTATTATATAGTTAAATGCAGAAGACAAAGTGAGGACAGAAAAACTGAAAAGAAAATGGTGAGGATGACATAGTCCTCATCCTTGCATTTGCCTGTCCCCTACAGAAAGAGTCATCCCATTGTAATGCCATACCTTATTTCCATGATTAGGCCTATAGCTGAAATATAGAGTGACTTCTCAGCTGAGTGAGCACTATGATTTTAATAACTGTCTGCTAATTAACAGGTTTTTTGAGATAAAGACAGTTGAATAGCTGCATCCTCTGACACCCCAAATTAATAACGCTTCAGTAGCAAATAATAAAGTGGTAGAGATTGGAATTATTAATGGTTTCATGCAGTAGAAAATAGATTAAAATGAATCTGACTTGTTTATCTATGCAACCTAGACCATTTCAACATGCTAGAGATCTCAGCTCTAATATATGATGCCCTAGAGAGCTCTATATAAAGCTAGAAGAACTGTTCCTAAAGCAAGATTCAAAAATTTCTATATTATAACTTTATGAATAAAATTAATAAACCAACAATTCATTACATTCTAAAAGCATCACTGGAACATAATAATCCTTGTTTGCAGAACAAACAGTATTTCGTAATTACGGAGTCATGGAGCAATGTGGGTATTTTTTTATTGCAGTTCATTACATAAGATTACAAGGAAGAATTTGTCTTTGAATCATAATGAAAACTTAATTGGCAGCACCATCCTAAAATATTTCCAAGGACTAAGTTTCAGTCTGTGTCTTAATCAATTTCATATTAGAAAGAGATTTTAACAAGATAATGCTGTGAATATCATTTTACTGCATTATAAAACCTTTGGCTGAATCTCATAAGTAATTAAAATTCCAACCATCTTGGACATCTGACACAAATGCAGTCCTAATTTTAATATTCTTCAAGATTATACAGTTTCAAGTTTCTTTTATTTTTCTTTACTACCTTTAATCAAACTTTAGCTTTTACCTCACTCACCTAAAAATAGTCTAAAGAAGAATAAACACTAAACATCAGAATCATGCCTTCAGACATAAGTAAAAACACAGGTAATATTACAAAATACAGTCACTTTTCTATGCAATATGTGCAATGATTCCCAAAGACTGCTCTTTCAGATCTTTTACTCTACCCATACGTGCTCTGAAATGGGGCTGAATGTGCTAAGAGCTCATTCAGCTACAGAATAGCCTTCACCTAAGCTGAGGCTTCACCCAATAAAGCATTACTACCATGAGCTCACATTTATTTCAGATGCCTTTCTCAATACTATTTAATAAAATAACAGGCAGATAAGTCCTGTGGAGATAACAGGACTACAATGCTGCCCATACAGACAAAACCTGTTTCCAGAAGTTTTAAAGAGCAATAGCACGTTTTGAACTAAAATACCTGGAAGGAAGGACATCTTAGAAAATGTTGTGCCATCATTCATCCTGCACAGTGATTGATAGGCAACTATTACTTCACTCTCAGCTGAACTCCTGACATCTATGAAGATCTCGTAGCCTGAATTAGGAGTAACTCAACAAAACACTGAACCAGTTGTCATTTAAGGGGTCCACCTGGCTTGTATGCTAGAGGCACAGTCATGAGAAGTGCAAAATTCAGGCTCCCGTCGAACAGATAATTGCAAAATAAGGAAGCAAGAAATTGAGAACAGTCTGAAAGTAACAAACAAAAGTTATTTGTGCTACATTGCATGGTTCATTAAAATGTAATGTCTGGTGTTAACACTCATCATAACTGTTGATATTATGATTAAAACCATGCAGCTACAATATCTTGGTCCACATACCAAACAATATAATTGTGGACCCCCAGTCTTGGTACAGGCTTATTGTGGAACATTTTGCTCGTTAATTAATTAAAATCTGCCATTTGCAAGACTGTTCTGAAAAATTTTCTCCAGGAAATCTGTTTTAACTGAGTATGTGGAAAATGGATAAACCCCCCTTTTATTTGTGCCAATAAGAAAAGATCCGAAGAATAAAAAGATGCTACAGAGGAAAAATAGCTATTATATATGACTACTGGATTCCATGACAGAGACAATTTACTAAACACAATTATCCAGTGTATGTTAAAATATGTTTAAAGACTAATCAGACCAAAACAATCTTATAGCACTCACTGCAAGGTAACACATATCTATATGGATTCGAGGTTGGGTATATGGTTTATGTGATGCACAGGCACCATTTTTCCAGTGATATATACATATATGTATGTATACATACACCTATCAATACAAGTGAAGGGTATACAAATTTCAAAGGCATTTACAAGCAATCTATACATTTGTAAACACACAGTTACGGCCTAATGAATTTTCTATTTGCTGCAGAATAGCCCAATTCCTGTCTGAATGTGGAAAAGAATATCCCCTGCACTAAACAGTGTTATCACAATTTTCTGTGTCTGCATGACATCAAGAAGTATGGAGGAATGCATGTGTGTTCACAATAAACTAAGGTACCATATTAAAAGTTCCCCCCCCAATTAGCAATTCCATAATAGTCTTGAGTACTGACTTGTTGACAACAGGAGTAAAATAGTGAAATACAGAAACCATGTATAAAAAAAAAAGCCATTTATTTTTTCACTAAAAGTGTTTACATATAGTTTTGCTCTGTTTACATAAATGTAAGTTTAAAACTCATCATTAAACACCAGGATTTCAAGAACACAAATTTACTGACTTCAAAATTAGCTTCAAATTATCTGGCACACCTTTCCCTTTCCCTGGAACTCACAGAAGGCATTTTACAATAAATTGAGCTAGTGACATCCACCCATTTCCAAAAGAAGCATTCCCACCTGCCCTGTGATCTTCCCCCTTTTTGTGCAAGGAAGTTGTTTTACCTTGAACTACACTAGCGCCCATCAACCCCTCAGTGACCAGGTCAGGGAGCAAACCTAGTGAAAATTAGTTTAAATCAACGAAAAGAAATCCCAGGAAGATAAAATAGGTATTAACTGATCTGAATGTCATCCTCTGTTAAATAATATGTCCTCACCAACTTTTGGTAAGGATGAGAGGAAGTTTCCTTAAGTTGCACTAGGAGAGGTTTAGACTGGGTATTAGGAAAAATCCCTTCACCAAAAGGGTTGTCACGCATTGGACCAGGATGCCCAGGGAAGTGGCTGAGTCACTATCCCTGAAAGTATTTAAAAGATGTGTAGATGTGACACGTAGAGACATAAGGTTATATAGTGCTGGGTTAATGATTGGACTTGACAATCTTAGAGGTCTTTTCCAATCTAAATAATTCTATGACACAGCCTGATTTAAGAAAGCTGCACTGAAAAGCTCCATTAAAAGAGCAATAATTTTATTAAGTTTAGCTACTCAAACCAGGGTGGGGCCAGATGAGTAGCAGAAGACACAAAAAAATTGTCACAGGCAGAAATTTGTCATCAGGGCTGAGGGAGAGAGTAAAAACACTTGCTAAGCAGCTAATGACAAGGCCATCTTAACTGCATTATGAAAGCATACACTTAGAGGTCATAAAAGAAAAGACAACAGCCTCTTTGTTTACCACATCACAACAAAATTTCACATTGCATACCATGGTTTATTTCCTGTGCCTTTGACAGACTAACAGAAGACAGCCTGAAAAGTAACTCTGCTTGCTATTGCCAGATCTTGACTTCTCCAGCCCAATCACATGTTGCAAGAAGTGATGGCAAGACTGGGTGAAATATTGTACTCACACAAGCTTCGTTATGTGCAGACAAAGTGCGAATAATCCTAGCAGTATGATAGTTATAGAAAAACACTTTGCCATCTGAACTTCCTGTCACCAAAAGTGTTCCATCTGGAGAAAATTCACAGCCCACAGCAAAACCTTCCACCTGTGAAAATCAATAACAGTGTAACTCCTGATGCTGGTAAGGAAAGCTCATTGTGATATACTGAAAAAGAATACAGTACCAAAAAAAATTGTATCTTTAAATAAACTTACACTAAGGACTTCTCCAGGTGTTTAATAAGACACGGCTATAACACAAACTTATTTAAACAAGCTATTAAGTATTCATAGCATTTTCTAGTAACTATTTTCTTCAGAGTACGTATGATTCAAAATAGACTGGCACATGGGAAAGCAAATGAAGCCAATTAATATCTACCACTGATTTATAATCAACCACTATTAGCAGACATACTAAAAAGCACAGGTACTCTGCTAACCATCTTGTTTCTAGATTTGGATACTAAGTTCCCAGTAAAGAAGGATACCTTATGTCCTTCGTATCTTTTCTTCTTGTTGATTCGGTAAGGTCGCTGCGCAGAAAACAAAGCCATGTAGTTCCCATTTGTCTGAGCAACAAACACAGACTCTTTTGGGTGCAGAGTCAGACTCGGGCAAGTGTAACGCTCCTGAAAATAATTTTAAAGAAAGTTTTGTATGAAACAAAAGATTTGTCGAAATGATTCAGGTTATCTTATCACATTATGGAAGACCATAAAAGGTAAAGTATACGTAAGTCATAACCACAGCATACATTATAGAAAAGATATTTAACTCATTACAATCCACTGAAAGTCTTACACCAAGACAAATCTTAAATGAAATATCTACCCTGGTTCCATAGATGCTGACCAAAATCTCCTGCAGAACAGCTGCAGAAAGGTAACTCCAACTTGATGGTACTCAATAGCCTACTAAGAAGTTCTTTATGACAGCGATTTGCCATGTAGGCTATTGCTGGGTGTAAATTCATAAATATCTTTAAAAAAAAAAAAACACCAAAAACTTGGCTTTAGTCTAGTGCTCCTATTTGAGACTGAATTAAGATTACTTTTGAAAAACTGCATGACAACTGCACTAGAAATCAACTGCTCTCGCAAAGCTTTCACCAGGTCCAAACCTCTGCTAGTTTCAGCCTAACTTAAAGGCACAGTGCTGAATTTTAGTGCCATGAATACAAACTAAAAGAGCATTGGCGGCACGATGTATCTGCGTGTGATGTCTACAGGCTGACAGTGACCACTGGAACTCACAGGCTATGTGGCAAAACAGGAAGAACATCAGACTAGTTTTATTGTGTGGTTTGGAAGTAATGAACTGGGAAGGAAGTTCTGGGTACTGTAAGGTACTGGGAACAGAAATCAAAACTGGATTAGGCAGTGTGCCTGGTTGGGAGTATGCTCCATGGCACAGCACTGCATGCTTCTGGGGGGAAACTGGGTCTAACAGTAAGGGATCAGAAAGCACAATGTAATCTACAGGAGCACTGTGCTGTTATGCTGGTATTCTGGAGCTTGCCCCTGTATCAGTGCAGTCTGAATCAGCCCACAGGAGATGGTAGGGCTCTGTTTCCACCCCTGGGGCAGTCGGTTCCAAGTGTACTGGACGCCCCTCCAAGTTAAAGCAAACTGTGGCGTGCGCTCTGCTGCCAAAGGAATTGAGAAAAATGCATTGGCAATATCAGTCGTGGCATACCACTTGGCTACCTTTGACTCCAGTTCATACTGAAGTTCTAGCATGTGAGGTACAGCAGCACTCAATGGTAGTGTGACTTCGTTTAGGCCATGATAGCCTACTGTTAGTCTCCACTCTCCGTTGGACTTTTGCACTGGCCATAAGGGGCTATTAAAGGGTGAGCAGTTCCTACTGATCACTCCTTGGCTCTCCAGCCTACAGGTCAGCTTATGGATGGGAATTAGGGAGTCCCAGTTGGTGCGATATTGGTGCCGGTGCACTGTTGTGGTCACGATTGGCGCTTGTTCTTCTACCTTCAGCAACCCCACAAACAGAAGGATCCTCTGAGACCAGGCAAGGTGGACAGCTGCTCAATTTCCTCTGTCTCCAAAGCAGCAATACCAAAAGTCCATCGGTAACCTTTTGGGTCTTTGAAGTACCCTCTCCTGAGGTAGTCTATGCCAAGGATGCATGGAGTCTCTGGACCAGTCACAATGGGGTGCTTTTGCCACTTCCTCCCAGTCAGGCCGATTTCAGCCTCCAGTACAGTCAACTCTTGGGATCCTCCTGTCACTCCAGAAATACAGATGGGTTCCACCCCTTGACAACTTGATGGCATCAGGGTACACTGTGCACCGGTATCTACTAGAGCCTTATACTTCTGTGGGACTGATGACTGATGTGCCAAGCCATCTGAGCCACACAGTCCAGTAAATCCAATCATCTACTACCTTCACCTGGCTGGAGGCAAGGCCCCTCTAATAGTGATCACAATATTGGTCACTTATGTCTTTATTATAGGAGCTGGAGTAAAATCAGTTCTTCCACTCCATCTGGGAACCTGCTCACCAGAGACTGAAGCCTCAGCTTTCATGGGATGATCACCCTTGACCTCTTCAATGCACGCACCTGTTCCTCCAGAGCTGAGGTAGGTTTTCCATCCCACTTCCTCATGTATTCTCTGTGATCCCACAGGTAAAACCATAGGGTGGCACGTGGTGTACACCTTCTGTATCTTCTCTTGAGCAGTAGGGCACCTCTTGTTAATAGCTGAGACATGTGTTGGTACACGTGGGGAGCTGGGTAGATTAGATAGATCGTCTCTCAATTGTCTGAACTCCTGGGACAGTTTTTCCACAGCTGAAATGATGGTAGGTGTGAGATTGTCTTTGAACTCTCACAATTTATGAATCATTTCATCCACTGTTGGTGGTACTATGTCACTCCAGGTTTCTGTTGCCTGTGAATGTGCATATGATGATGTAAATTTCCACCACATGAGTTGTGTACATTCGACTTCATCTGGATCTATGGGTGCATCCCCAGCATTCATCTTGTGACAGATCATCTCTACAATGGTTGATTCCCTCAGAGACTGGATGCCTTTCTCTAGAGTAGTCCACTTGGCCGAACAACTCATAAGAGACTGGATGCCTTTCTCTAGAGCAGTCAGTCCACTTGGCCAAATGACTCATAACATAATCTTTGTATGGAAACCTTTCTTTCACAGCTGCCAAGAGCCACCTCCAAAGGCTGAGGGACTGTTTCTCTCTTGCAATTGCTTTGTCAGTTCCCCCTTCCCTAGCAAGTGATCCCAGCTGCTTGGCTTCTGTACCTTATAGTTCGTGACTGTTAGCCCCATTGTCCCATCCACCACCAGGTGATGATGCGCTCCCTTGATTGATGGGTAAAATCTTTTCATATATTCCGTAGCTCGGTTGAGGTCCCGGATCCAGAAGTCACCTCTTCTTCCTCTGATTCATGTGATATCACTCCTGATCAGATGCTGTCCTGGGTAGTAAGTGCACTGCCATTGCTTCTTCATCTTTCTTGTCTCTTTTTGCTTTTCCCCTTTCGTACAGGGGCAACCAATACTGGCACAAACTGGTACTCTGGTTTAGCTGCAGTGATCATCACTGTGAAGGGAGTGGCTGCAGTATGTGTTGTCGGGGTTAGAGTAGCTGCTGTACTTGTCACTGGGGTTGGTGTAGTTGCTGTGCTTGGAGCTGGAGTAGCTGCGCTGTCTGTTGTGGTCAGAGTTTGAGTAGCTGCTGTACTTGTCACACGGGTTGGTGTAGTTGCTGTATTTGCAGTTAGAGTAGCTGTGTTGTTGGTTGCTCTGCCATCAGATCCAGAGTTTTTTTCCCTCTGAAGGTACTGGATGGTTTTGAACAGGTCTCTGTAAGCATAGGCCAATCCCCAGCACATTGCCATGATTCGTCCCTCTCTGGTATGACCAGGATGACAACACACCTAATTTAAATGGTTTACAAATTTTTCTGGATTTTGCACTTGTTCAGTGGTGAAGTTCCAAAGCACTGGAGGGGCCCACTGGCCTAGATACTTGCCCATACTATCCCACACACACTGCCACTCATGACTGTTCAGCCTTGGGGAAATTCTCTTGGTCCTCCTATATCATCGTCTAGCCCTAGAGAAGGCCCAAACCTGACTCTGCTTAACTTTCGAGATCAGATGAAATGGTCATGGATAAAACACACTCTCTATGCATGCCAACATGGTGACCCCCATCACAATCAGCAGGCAGGTCTCAAGGGTACCCAAAGGCCATTCAAAACCTTCAGAACTCTCAGATTATGCAGTAAACAGTCTGGTAGGCAGGGTGGGAAGGTAAGAGAATGTCTCCTTCACAGGTTGACCACCCGAGGAGGGGAAAAAAGATGTGTAATTGCTAAACACTTACATTACATAGCTCCCAAAGTAAAGAGGTGGTGAACACACTGGGAAAGCAAGCCAGATCAGTGCACAATCAATGATTCTATTGTATTACAAGTCATTACCATAAAGTACAATGAAACAAGAACCTCAACCCAAGGTCCCCAGCTGATGAACAGTAACACAGCAAATACTGGCTGTAAGTAAGGTACAACATGATGAAACTCCGAGGTCAAGAGCAACAACTTTGAGAACCAATAAATCAGCATTGTGATGAGTGACTATTAATCCAAAACAATGAATGCTTATCACAAATACACTTAGACACACTCTGGTCAGATCTGTCATTATGTCAACCCTTCGTGCCCCATGTTGGGCACCACAAAAAAACTGTCGTGCTATAAGGCCAGCCAGAAGCTCAGAATCATGCAGCCTCTAGCTCATTGATTCGGAGAAAACTCCAGGAACAAACTTGCCAACAAAGTTTTCAAGCTGACAAGCAGGTATTTTTTACTGCGGCACCGGGAGACACGGAGGATAGCTCCTCCTAACATGTGTCCCCATATTGCTATACAAGCCATCCTTATATAGTCCCAGGGCATACATACATATTCATGAGGCTACATATGGATTACATCATTTTCCAGAGAGTTCCCCGCATGCGTACAGAATTGTGGTGGTGGTCTCTGAGGGTCAGTTACTTCTTCCAACAATCTTCATCACTTCTGGCCACCTTTGGAGCACGCGCAGTAGATGCTTATACCAGCTTAACTGGTTCGTTAGCACCAGAGACATAATAATCCTCCTGTCCTCCTACTTAGCAGTTGGTTTAACCATAGCCCATCCTGGACACCTACCATTCCCAGATACTCCTTATCCCTGTGTCCCATTCTTCTAGACTGTTTTTCTTAAATCTGTCAACTATAACGATTTATGTTGTACAAGAATTCTCAGTATGTTCTCTAGCTGTACTCTACTTTTTTTCTGTGTATCACAGAATCATAGAACAGTTAAGGTTGGAAAGGACCTTAAGACCATCAAGTTCCAATACCCCTGCCATGGGCAGGGACACCTCACACTAAGCCATATCACCCAAGGCTTCGTCCAACCTGGCCTTGAACACTGCCAGGGATGGAGCATTCACAACCTCCCTTGGGCAACCCATTCCAGTGCCTCACCACTCTAACAGAAAAGAATTTCCCCCTTATATCCAATCTAAACTTCCCCTGTTTAAGAGTCAACCCATTAGCCGTTGTCCTGTCACTACAGTCCCTAATGAAGAGTCCCTCCCCAGCATCCCTGTAGACTCCCTTCAGATACTGGAAGGCTGCTATGAGGTCTCCATGCAGCCTCCTCTTCTCCAGGCTGAACAGCCCCAACTTTCTTAGCCTATCTTCATATGGGAGGTGCTCCAGTCCCCTGATCATCCTCGTGGCCCTCCTCTGGACTTGTTTCAACAGTTCCATGTCCTTTTTAGGTAGAGGATACCAGAACTGCACACAATATTCCAAGTGAGGTCTCACAAGAGCAGAGCAAAGGGGGCAGGATCACCTCCTTCGACCTGCTGGTCACACTCCTTTTGATGCAGCCCAGGATACAGTTGGCTTTCTGGGCTGCAAGCACACACTGCCGGCTCATTTTCTCATCGACCAACACCCCCAAGTCCTTCTCCGCAGGGCTGCTCTGAATCTCTTCTCTGACCAGCCTGTAGCTGTGCCTGGGATTGCTCCAACCCAGGTGTAGGAGCTTGCATTTGGCATGGTTAAACTTCATGAGGTTGGCATCAGCCCACCTCACAAGCGTGTCAAGGTCCCTCTGGAGGGCATTCCTTCCCTCCAGCGTATCAACCGAACCACGCAGCTTGGTTTCATTTTCAAACTTGCTGAGGGCGCACTCAATCCCACTGTCCATGTCAGCGACGAAGATGTTAAACAAGACCAGTCCCAACACCGATCCCTAAGGGACACCACTCGTTGCTTGTCTCCAGCTGGACATTGAGCCATTGACCAGAACTCTTTGTGTGCGGCCATCCAGCCAGTTCTTTATCCACCGAGTGGTTCATTCATCAAATTGATCTCTCCAATTTAGAGACAAGAATGTCGTGTGGGACAGTGTCGAACACTTTACACAAGTCCAGGTAGATGACATCAACTGCTTTACCGCTGTCCATCAGTTCTGTAGCCCCATCATAGAAGGTCACCAAATTGGTCAGGCAGGATTTCCCCTTAGTGAAGCCATGCTGGCTGTCACCAAGCACCTTGTTGATTTTCATGTGCCTTAGCATGCCTTCCAGGAGAATCTGCTCCAAGATTTTGCCAGGCACAGAGGTGAGACTGACTGGTCTGTAATTGCCCGGGTCATCCATTTTCCCCTTCTTGAAAATGGGGGTTATATTTCCCTTTTTCCAGTCGTCGGGAACTTCACCTGACTGCCATGATTTTTCAAATATGATGGCCAGCGGCTTAGCAACTTCATTTGCCAGCTCCTTCAGGACCCGCGGATGGATTTCATCAGGACCCATGGACTTGTGCACGTTCAGATTTTTAAGATGGTCTCGAACCAATTCCTCTCCTACAGTGGGCCCAAGGTCTTCATTCTCACAGTCCCTGCATCTGCCTTCCAAGACTATATATATATATATATATATATACACACAGAACTAAATATATATATATTTATATATATATACAGAACTAAACAAAGACCTCAACTTACAGTAAGAGCATTTTATACATCACATGAACTTTCAGAAAATTAAAAGTATTATTTACAACACTGACAAGCATGAAATGCTAAATCTCAAACAATACTAGTTGTTAATCTTACATGGAAAATCTGATTGGAGATTTTTGCAGCACTTTGGAAGTCCCATGCAATAATGGTACGATCAGCTGAGTCACGGCTTACTGCATCTGTGCTTGTAAGAAATTCTTTTCCTTCTGGGAGAAAGAGTATGTCCAATGTCTGTTGCAGAGCAGCCTTGTACACTCTTAACACCTAGTGGATAAAAAAGTTTGTTATTTTTTGACAGATTAGAAAAACACAATAAACTAAGTTTTCTCTTTTTATTAATAACCAACATATTCTCTTTGTATTAATAAACAACAAATGTAATATGTGAAAAAGCACCTAATTTTTAACTGGTAGAAGGAAAAATACCCCATTGGCTTAACTGTTTGTTAAGTTTGCTCAAAACCAAAAGAGAAGAGTACCAGAGATGGAAAAGTAGAACCACTGAGAACTACAAGAGCATTGCCCGTGTGTGCAGAGATGCAGATAGAAAAGCAAAAGCTCAGCTTGAACTGAAATTAGGTACATAATTAAAATTGGGTAAATAATTGAAATATTTTCCCACTCTTGAACAAGAGAGGTGAATTAGTTACTAGCAATGCTGAAAAGGCAGAGGTTCTCAATGCTTTCTACACCTCTGTCTTTACCAGCAGTTGGGCCACAGGACTTGGGAACAAAAAAATCCACGTTGATGAAAACACAGATCCACTGTCAGAGGAAAAAAAAAAAAAAAAGATTTGGTATGTCAACTGTTACAGGGGCTTAACCCCTACAGATCAGTGGGCCCTGACATTATCCACCCAAGGGTAAGAGCTGGCTGACATCATTGCAAGGATGCTCTCCATAACCTTTGAGAAGTCATCGAGATCGGGGGGCATTCTAGAAAACTGGAAGAAGGCAAATGTCAATTCACACCAAAGTGGGTTGGATCCATACAGAAATGGGTCCTCAGCCACCAGATGCTGAATCTTTTAACAGCCTGTGACCTGGATCTTAAAATGTAAGAGATTTTGAAATATTCTAAAGAATATATGAGCCATTTGAATTTCCTTTCTTTCCACCACTCTTCATGAAATTCTGCATCTGTGTTGTCTACTTTGAATTTTGCAAATCAATATTTCTGCTTTCTTTTTCTCTTATTTGCCTCCAGCAGAGAGCAACTTCAAGGCAAATGGCCAGATCAAAAGAATCCATCTCTCTGAATATGGTGATCCTTGAAACTAGGACACTGGAAGACTCTTACTTATTAATATCTAAATATATATCTCTCTTGCCAAGACAGCTAAAAAGTAGCTGCCTGCACTTCCAACAGGGTGTTGAGAGGTTAGTCCTTCTAATGTCATTAGAAGAAAAGAGCAGAGAGAGTGCTTGAAACAGTCCCCAGCTTTGTGAGGCATTTCAGTGCCTACTTTGCATTCCTAGCAACACGGGACTACCGATTCTAGGGCCCATAACTGTTACAGATACCGTAAGCACATACATTTTTTTAATAAAAATAATTTTCAGGTGTCACAGTGAAAAATCCTGGATTATACCTCTGCTTTATACTTTAACCAGTAAAAGAAAAATAGTTTCAAATATCAAACACAACATGAGAACTTCCCGATTTACTCCCTTCAGCTCAAAAGTCTATGACTGCTTGGAAATGTTCAGATAGCAGATCCTGCTTTGCGGTAGCAATATACTAGATCATCTCCTGAGGTCCCTTGCATCCCTGCTTCCTGTGATCTTGGTATGTAGAAGGATAGCAGCAACAGCTGCTCCAATTGCTTTTCATAGGCTCTGTGAAATGTACACTTTAGAAAGACAATGTTTGCATTCACTGAAGAACCTCACTCATGCAAGCACACTATACACCCTGTAAGTTCATCAACAAGATCTGAACCTGCAGACTCAAAGACCTGGCATGCTTTTCAGCAATCTGCCTGCTTTTTTAAGATAATGAATATATAAATGTGTTACTTGCTCTCGTCAGATTTTTCAGCCGAGGAATATGCATGATATACAAAGCAATTAAACTTTGCAAAGCCAAAAATTATATTTGCCTCCACTTTCCTTTATGGAGAAATCACCACACACCGCTATTTCTTCAAAGACTTATAAAAGGAAGTCAATAGTCATTAGTAAAGTAGAATATGAAGGTATTCTGTAGGAGCAAAAATAAAAATAATAATAAAAAATAAACCCACAAAATACAACAGCTGTCTGGAATGAGAAATGAGAAATCATACAGGAACTGCAGGTGACCTGAAATAAAGTTAAATTGAGAAGAGGGGGCACAAAAGGCTCTACCACCCCAACAGACTGAAGAGGCAGCTACTTAGCAGCAGGCACTTTCACAGATGTGAAAAGTCCCAACTGAAGAGTTGGCAAGATCAGAGTGCAGAGTAGCATAAACATGTAGAAACAGGGACAGGAAGGCAGAAACAAAGGCCAACTGGTGCTGGGAAATGACGAAGAACCATATAGAGCAATAAATGATAATAAAGTCCCAAACGGTGCTTCATGGTAGTAATTGGATAATATTCTTTTATTTTAAAGGTGAAAAACTCAAACGTACTGTTTAGGTCTTCATCTTCCAAAAAACCCCTTGTGAAATGTATGTAAACACATATCCATATATACACTGTGTTCAGCACTGTTAAGGGGTTTTTAGGCTTGGGACTTAAAATTGTCTGTTTGAAGCAACAGTAATCTCTCAGTAAGGAAAAAGTAGAGTATGCAGTATACTTACATGCAGTAAGTAACATGCACATGCTTTTAATGTTTTGCTGAAATCCTCTTGGGCTCTTGCATAAACTGCCACTAATAATCTAAACATTTTCACTGTTAATCATTACATATATACAGTTGTCTGTTAATAGGACACCTAACTAAATTACCCATGTATGTTAGCTTTGCAACTGGAAGATCCATAAAAATAAGTAAAAAAAAAAAAAAAACATTTTTTTCCATATGTACCTCAGAAAAACTATGCTATTTAATCTTCAAACCACACAGTAAGAGCTGACTCAGAGAACAATAAACTAACAAGCAGCTGGGAACTTGATATACATAGTATTTAAATTCTTCCATAAAGATAGCTTTCAAATTTTGCAACACTGCTGCTCAGAAAAGTACTCATAATTAAACCTGATTTGTTCTACCTTAGACAGTTAATTCATGACATGCCTGAGGAACCTGCTTGGGGAAAGCACCAGTTTCCTTACCCTGCTGGCTTTAGTTTGTTAGTAACAGCTTTTGCCCTTTTTCTATTTGCAGATTTATCACAAATAAGCATTGGAAATCCACACAGTCCACTTCTTCAATCTAAGCATTTCCTGTACATAAAAGAAATAATTTCAAAAGAAGTCCTAATACTTTCTGGTGTCAACACAATACAACATAATAATAGAGCTTCTTCACTAAGGCAAGAGCTCATGGCTGCAGGCATTCAACAAAGGTAATTTAAGCAAATTAAGTCAGTTTCAAAGAGATTCTTAGGGTTCTGATGATTTGAAAACCATGCTGTGATACGGAATTCAAGGTATATACTTCAGATGGGTGTTCTATAATATTTTGCTGCATAATGTACATGCAATGCCTGGTATTTTGTCTGTCAAGAAAGCCCAAAGCCTCAACAGAAGCAGTTCAGAAACTGCTGCTCACCCAAGCTCTGTGTTGGTCCCCTGTAATCTATATGCACTGCACTTTCCTAAAAAGTCCCTCCAACTTTAAGCAAGTGGTGAGAAAGAAATGGGCTCTTATTGTCCTGAGCATCAGCAGATGAGATCTCAAAACAAATCTAACAGGACTACATGTAATCTGGATGGTCATGGAAAAAAACCTTAATCAGCCAGTGCCATGCCTTCCAACCTATAAAAATGGCCATATTTTTATTTCCACCTCTTGTCATACCTTTTTAGATTGAGTGCTTTGGTATTAAACTGTCTCTTCCTGTAGGTATGTTGGGTAACTAAAGCAATCGGGGACTGACTTAAGTTTCCTCTGCAAAACAGTAATAGAGCACTACTAGTAATAAAAAGTGCACTTTAAGAGAAAGTTAATTCTGCACAAAATAAAAGCTTTTTTATCTACTGCAGTGCAAGCCATTTGTGTTGATCTATTCTAGAGACTAAGGTGCTAAAACAGATGACTACGATATGAACAATGTACTCTTTTTTTAAGTCACTTCAGATTGCTTGAGAAAGCACAGGATTCTTGTGATGGAAAGTGTCAACCATTTATTAGAGAAAAAATACTTTCCCATCAGAATTTTATTTAAAATTATCTCCTCATCTCAAATAGGATAAGTGAAATCTGTATACAGGAAACAGATGAGGAACATCCAAGATGCAGAACAGCTTTTTTATGAGAAGCAATAACCAGAACTTTACAGTACAGAAATGGACAACCATGGGGAATTTGAAAGTATCAGAAATAAAGTCTGAGTGGCATGGAGAAGGTGACTGATTTCTTCCATGATAAGAATTCAGACTCCAAACTAGCAGAAGGCAGATTCAAAACAAGATGCTTCTTCCCACAATACATATTTAATTGTATTTTTTGCTACAGGATGTTGCAGACATTAAAAAAAAAAAAAAAAAAAGAGAGAGAGAAAAATCAAGAACAACCAATTCTACAGTTGAAAACTTAAACAGACCATGAAAGACAAAGACAGTATCTGTGGTGCAAAAAGTCCCCACACTCTACATTAGAAAGGTCTGGGTAACCATTGCTGGGAGTAGAGATGAAGTTTGCTATGCTTTCATATTCTTGTTTGTTTAAAAGCATACTGGTAGCTGCTGGGGGTTTAAAATTTGTCTAGAAATGGGCTGAAACCAGAATGGTTATTCCCCAACAGCTTCTCATTTGAACACTCACGCTCCACCAAGAGGCATGTTTTGTCTCTGGCCCGTTTCAGTCTCCTCGGGAGCAGCTGCTATGATTGTCTGTCACAGACAGACAGGTCTGTGATTATCATCTGAGATACCACCATATGAGGTTTCCAAATAAACACAGCAGGACTGCTCATGTATATGATACATCCACATAAAATGTGTCTTCACACTCAGAAAGGACTTCTGAATGTTCACATTTAAAACCAAATACCATTACACAAGTACAAATGTATGCCTCACCAGATTTCTTCAAACTTTGTCCATAGTTACAGTCAGGCTTTCTCAAACTGTGAGAAGAATATCTTTAGTTTTCTAAAGAACTGAATA